AATGTCATTAATTTTAAGGGAAGATAGACAAAAATTAGTAGAAAAAAACGTTCAAATCATTATTTAAGTCCCTTTCCGAACCATTCCTGACTGGTGACCTTCCTGACAAAGGTTTATCGAGAGTGAATCTACCGTATTTAATCAATACTGCATTTTTTTCCCAGAATGCAATTCAATCGAGATATTGAAGAAAAACAAATAAAAAAGCAATTCTTGCCGTAAATTGTTAATAACATTTTTCCTTACTTTATGACACATGTGCATTTTAATGTGTTGTTCTACGACATATTTGTAGCCGATTTGTTGGGGTTTATGGAAAATTGCTACTTCTGGACCACTTCCTGAATTACTACTGTCTACTGTCTACCTATTTCTTGCCCTTTTGCATTGTTGGCGTCGTAGTATTGAAACACTGTCGCAATTGCCCGTCAAGCGGAATGTGGTCTGACGTAATTTATTTACTAGGTAATCGTAGGTGTGACGAGAAAACAACCTTAGCGATTTTGCATGGCCGTTTTAGGCAACCCGACGTGGTTTCGCTACTTTGCTTCATCCTTATCTCCCTGTTATTGTTGCCTGGTTAATCAATTAATTATTGAAATTGGGAAAGTGCTTCGGCAATTTCCTTTTAGGGGAGGAATTTTTTCGACTTTCCCGGGATTTCAAGTCGATTGACACCAACATTTACATATATTTTTTTAAATTATAAAAACGAATGATATTGACGTTGATTTACTTGTAGCAAAGTCTGTAATATTTTATACTTATCATGCTTTACGTTGATACGCCTAACAATAACCGTCAATAAATAAAGTCAGGTTGAAAAAATTTACATGGAACGAGAATAATAAACACACCCACTTAGGATTTCCTACCTACATAGATACAAAAGTTTATACAAACTCGTTTTTGTTGAACAACCCACAGCACTGCAGTGGATCTAACATTTTGTTTAAAACCGCTTGATAAAATTTAAAGAAAATCTGTACCTAACCGAAGCTAACAACCTCAACTTTCTGTGTTCAAACAGAGTCACTCTTCCGGAACAGATCAGATAAACATTTCATTGCATTTTTATATCCACGTTTTTTCTCTATTAAAAAATCATTAAAACTGTTACAAGTAAGGTGAAAAATCACACAATTACACTTTACCTATGCATTATGTGCTTTTAATTGTTTTTTATCTATTTATAGTCTTAAATTAGCAGTAACTTTATTTTAATCTTAACCTTAGTCTCAGTCCCAATATTTCGTTTATAAAAATTTTGTCTTAAACTTGTCTCAATAATTGTTTATCCAATGACAGACTTTGCGCATGCGTACTCGTCCTAGCATTAGTCTTAGACCTAAGAGAATAAAATATAGGAACTTTCAAAGTCAGCTTTGAGAAATTGTATCTCTCAAGGGGTGAACATTTTACGAAGGTAATTTCTATGCAAAACGTGTTCTTTTTAGCTGTAAGTTCACCGGTACCATTTGTGCACTTCTTTTGAAAACGCCTTGTATATAAATCATAAAAATATAAGCCTTATTGGTAAGTGTGATGTCCATATATTTTTATAGCAGTGGTACCTAAATGAGTACCTAATTCGGAAGAAACTGATGGTATTAAATTTATATTCTTTGTCAGTACATCCAAAAAACCTATTTACAATTTGCAAAGAGAATATACAAGAAATACGACGTGAAATAGAATTTAACAAGTGTTTATATTAAAATTTCTCTCCTCCAGCCTCCAGCTTCCAGCACATGTTCCAGTGGGTTTATAGATATTCCCATTTTGTAACTTAATAAATTCGCTTTTCAAAGAAATAAATTTGTCAAAACTATTTTGTCTTTTCCTAACCTCACAAAAAGATCGCAAAAATTGTGTGCAAAATTGACACATAGGTTAGGATTTTTTATAAACCAACACACTGTTAACTTGCTTCGGCAAAGACTAAAGCAAAGTTAGGGTTAAGATTCTAAGACTTTTTTATAAAGTCACCATGGGAATTTCATTTTTTAACTCACCTCAAAACTAATCATATAATACTTAAGTCATTATGACATTTTAGCTGTTTCTAGCAAGTTATTTCTGCTTCTGGCTATTGTCTTCATGTTGTCGTGATTATATTCCATGTATATTTATGATGAAGCCTTGTTCAAACAATGCTCCTGAATCATACCTACTAGATTTTAATAATTGTATGTAATTACGTAGTGTAAATAACGACTTTCCCAGGCACTGCTTGTTTTTGTACGTAATTATAATTGATGTCGGTGCAGGTGCATAATATTCTGGATTCGAGTGCAATAACATTATTACGCAATGATTTAATGAAAGGGAAAGTACGATTTATTTATTAAGATTACAAAAAACTTTGAGAGTCCAAAATGCGTATTAATAAATTCACAAAATTAAAATTACTTATAATTTGGAAATATAGATACATAAAAATTACAGTTTTTGTGCTAGTAGTCCAATCAAATTAGATTTTGACGTGCCAAAATTTAGTTCAGTAAACAAAGACAAGGCGGGTCTCGTAAGTGCATTACTGTATGATTTATTGAAACTTGAAAAAATTTCTTTCTTTCGAAAAACTCAATTTTTGCACAAACTATAAAATATTTTGCAAAAATGCACTTATTTTATTTTTCAAGGACTACATATTCCGAAACTTTTGTAAAAAAATCTTTTTTCGTTTTTAAAGATATAGAAGTTTTAAAAAAGTGTGATTTTTAGCCGTTTTTTGCAATAAATAATGCATTTGTTTATCAATTGACATTAGTTTGGGCACAAAATTTTTGTTATAAAATGTTCTACAACTTTTGTCTAAAACATTTTTTTCTAAAATGTTTAGTTTTCTTTTTATTGAAAAAAACTGTTTTTTGCGAATTTTGGACGCCATTTTGAAACTGAAGTCCTAACATTTAGCTAGGGTAAAGTAGTTCATTTAATTCTACGGAATTTTTCTTAATTCTTATTTGTCCTTGTTTACTGAACTAAATTTTGGCAAATAATTACAATTTCACTGGCCTAATAGTGGTCTTATTTAACGTTACGGGAGATTGCAATTATAGATCGAAACAGTAACCTTAAAAAAATCGAAATTTACAAATTCTAAAACCTATTAAGTTATAACTAAAATCTTGATCTCGGACTAAAATGTACTTTAAATCATAAGTACGTATCTACGTGCTTAAATACTTAGGTACCTTCTTAAGTACCGGCTTACTTAAGAACGTACCTAATACTTATCTACTTAATTATATATTTATAACTATAAATACTTAAGTACAAATAGGTGCTTGAGTAAGTAGGTACATGGTTGCCTTTGTACTTAAGCACCTACCTAAGTGCTTTAGTTTTCTATATGTTTTCTCACATTTTGGATTATTTATAGAGAAATAAACATATAAAACAACAAATTTACCCATTTATAATTGAAAGGAAAATGCTTAGATACATACACATGTGCACAAGTACTTAGGGATCTACTTAAGTACTTGCTTAATCATATACGTACTTACAACTGCAAGTGCTTAAATAACTTAAGAACAAATACTTCAGTAAGTAGGTACCTACCTTTGTACTTAAGCACTTGTCTAAGTGATTTAGTTTTCTATATATTTTCTCTCATTTTGGATTATTTTAAGGAAGGTAAACATATAAAATACCAAATTTACCCATTTAGAATTGGAAGGAGAGTACTTAGATACATATGTACCTAAGTACTTAGGTAGGTATCTACTTAAGTACTTGCTTACTTAAATAATATAATCATATACTTATAACTAGAAGTACTTAGAAAAAACTTAAGTACAAATACTTAAGTAAATAGGTACTTGATTACCTTTGTGCTTAAGCACAAAGTGATTTAGTTTTCTACACATTTGTCCGCATTTTGGATTATTTAGAGGAAGGCAAGTAACATAAACTAACAAAATTTATTTTGTATAATTATTATAAAAGAAAGTGCGTATCAAGCTTACGATTTCACTGTAGCTATATGTGAATGTGAAAGTTAAGTCATCTTGTGAATGAAACTGTCTCCTCTTTCTGTAGTATAATTTATTTTTGTTATGATGAGAAATTTTGTAAGTAAAAATCTCATGTATTTGTGGGAAATGAAGAAAACTACTTTTTGGGTTTTAACAGGTAGGTACTTAAACAAATAAGTAAAGCACTTCACAGAGACGTAAATACGTAAGTGGATACCTTATACGTACTTCAATAACCGATCAAGATAAGTAGCTAGTTTTTTATATAACCAAAAAGGAAGGATATAGGTGGGATTTCTAAATGGTTAGTCAGAATTAATACATCCTTAATTGTTGAATAACTATAAAAAATTCTCTTAATTTTATGTATGTATAGTCATTTAGCATATATGACTAAGTATCTATCTATTACTACTAAGAATTTCTATCGAATCTATAGACAGGAAATTTCCATCGCGAGAAATTATTTCTAGAATGTGCGTTAGGCAGTAAAATGCATTTTTCATTTTCTTATTGACTTTGTCTTTTGATAAAACACTTACTCGGTGTTTATCATTTCGTTTCTCTTAGATTTGAAGATTTGTATACCTATTTCAAGTCCCAAGCATCAGTTTTTAATTACCTACACTCATACTTATACTAATCTAACATGATTTGATGAAGATAAACACTTCTTAAAAGTAAAAATAATTATGTTGACCTTTTGTTATACCTAGTACAGGTATAATAATTAGTTAAAGGTTACTTCATCAAGAATGCATTTTTTTTATATTCAAATAAAATAGAATCTATCTAAACATATGCCCTTGAACTATCTGTAAATATACCTTGGTAAGGAAACAAGGACTTTTCCAGTCCCAATCTATGACATCACACCTAACTGTATACTATTTTTATCCATAAGCAAATAAATGTTTATGTTTCATGTTTATTAAAAACGGGATATTAAATTTTTTGTAAAAAATTGTAATGTACATACAAAAAATAAATAAGAAAGTTACTAAAATATCTTACCCTTCGGAAAGGCCACTCGCAATGTAGAACAAAAAAATCACCACACTGGCCTTCATGATTCCTTCTATGTTTATATATCACAGACAATACATTTTTCACTCCGGTAAAAGATTTCAAAATCAATAATTCACTATTTCAATACCTCTTCTATATTTCGCTTTTTGTTTTCGTACTTTAAGTAAATCGAGAAACAACCCCGCGTGTTTCGTATCGTTTTAAATTGAATGTTTCGTTTGTTTTTTTACCCAATTCGATCGCGCTCTACCGAGTAGCAGGCGCTGAACTACACTACTTGACAGCTGAGTCACGCCGTGGCCTACCTGGTTCTCCTGCTAAAGAGCGTCAGCCTACCGCGATCTCTTAAATTAACGCTTACCTCATACTGAACCCGTTACAGTTTAGGAGATTTGATTCAGAAAACTTTGTAGTCGCGTCCCTTTAAAACTACTTTTTCTAGTTTAAAGATTATTGTTGAAATAAAAGGATACTTATAATTACTTAGAAAAACAATTTTTACAAAAAGAGATAGTTTCAGTAGGTAGAATTAAACGAACAGACATATTTTATATTCTCTCTTATATTTTCTATTTTAAATAAGTTTTATAGAGAGTGCTAAATACCAACACTGATGTTTTATCCTGATATGACATAAAGTTACAGCTATTATGAAAACTAAAAGCTTAATTTTCGTTACTACCTACTGATGTTTGTTTTTTTATTAAAAATTTTAACGTGCCAAATACCTAGATAATTAGTAGATGTTTATCTTTTTATATTTTCATAAAGACAACTTCTCCAAGGCCCAAGGTGGGCTTAAACCGAAATGTTCATTGCTTAACTATATACTTTCATGTGAACTGAACTGATCTTACAGTTTAGTGATCGTCAAATACATGGAGAATGGTCAAATATAAATATAAATAACTTTTTCTTTATTTTTTTGACATACATTTAATTCTGGCACACATTGATTTTATTTAATGGTAATTTTATTAAATGCAAAGTATACAGGGCAGGTTTCATGTTTGAAGAAGAAGGAGAAGATAAAGCGAGAACATAACATAACCTAACCTTTAAACTCGTGAAGAATTAAAATTATTACGTTTGTTGTATTTTTAGCGTTTTTATTTGTACTATTTCTTAGTTTCTTAAAGGAATAACTGCTCCTAATAATAATTAATATGACAATGAACGACGATGTCAACAGCAAACTGGATTGGATGTACAAGGTAAACCGTAATAAAATACTACTGTATTGTTCTTAACATCTCTTTTTCAGGGTGCTAATAGCCTGGTTAACCGTGAGGAATATCTGCTGGGCAAGTCAGTGGATAAATCACTTGAACAGTTAAATGCAGAAGAAAAGGAGAAGAAGCTGGGGATAGTCCCACCCAAGAATCATGTCGAACATGAATGTATACCACCGTCGATAAGAGACTTTAATAAAATCGTGCAGGCAGAACAGGTATGCTAATAGTAATTTAAAAATTAAAAGACGGTCAATGTTATGTACTTTTAGGTAGATATAAGCGCAAAACTTCAAGAGGATCCTTTAGTGGCTATCAAAAAGAGGGAAGAAGAAGCACGTCGGCAATTCTTACAAAATCCTGTGCAGTTAAAAAAACTACAAGAAGCGCTGAAAGCTCAAGAGTTAAAGAAGAAAAAAGGTAAGCACAAGAAGTCAAAGGACAGTTCCGACAGTGATATAGACAGTAAGATTGCAAAAAAATTGAAATATCTGAGAGCCGACCCATCGAGCATACCCGTCTTGAAGAAAAAGAAGAAAAAGTCGAAGGACAATGCGTTGGACACTATTTTGATGCACAAATTTAACGAACTTAAAGACCGATTGTCTCAAGAGGATTTAAACGATATTTTAGAGGGAAACGTCAGTGACAGCGATGATGATGAGAGAGATAGAAAAGAAAATAAAAGCAGAAGACAACGGAGAAGCTCCAGCAGGGAGAGATATGTGAAAAAAAGTTCAAGGAAGAGAAAGGAAAGCAGCGATACTAGTAGTGACGGTGAAAAGCCTCGTCAAAGTCGTAAAGAGCGAATTAGTAGCGAAAGTTATAATCGAGATAAACGTGGGGATAGAAAAACTACAAACGAAGCATATTATAAAAGCAAACGAAGGAAACAAACACGTAGTAGTGAAGATACTTCAGAAGATGAAGATAGGGAAAGAGAAAGTAGATATAATAAGAAAAAAATATCTGATAGGACGAATCGTGGTGATGCACGTTTTACGAAAAGTAACTTAAGGGAGGATGAGGCAAACAAGGAGGGAAAGAAGGTAGTCGCAGATAGCGACCTGGAGAATAAAATACTGGAGAAGTTGCGGATACTAAGGGAATCGTCGAAATCGAAAAGAATGCCGAGTAGCAGTGACAGTAGTGACGGTAACAGTAGTGAAAGAACCGATTCGCGAAATCATCGAAATGACAGTGATAGTGACGAAAGAGTGCCTGAACCGAGGACTTTCGGCCTAGTTAAAGCCGACGGTACCAAAATCGCTCTAAACAAAAAAACGCAGGAAGTAAAGAAGAGCGACCAGTTGCACAAAGCGGAAACTGTAGCAAAACCGGAGAGGAAGAAGGTAAAGAAACTTACGGAAGAGGAGAAAGAGAAAATCCGTAAGGAAATGATGAAGAATGCGGAAAAAAGGGACAAGGAAAGGAGTGAGAACTTGAGGAAATATAGGGAAGAGGATAAACGGGAGGAGAAGAGCGCCGCTGATTTCGACAAAGAGTTCATGCATAAGCAACTGGTGCGGTCGACGAAGGAAGCTACGGTTGAATCGAGGATTAAATCAAATCTGAATAATATACAGAGATCGTCTCGGCATATGGACACCCACTTTTCTAGAAGATAAAGATTTTTTTGCTCTTGAAATGTAAATAACATGTAGATATTAGTTATTTTTTAAATTTTAATAGTATATCAGTTTTATAGAATTTAACATTCTCAGTTAAATCACAAAACATCGTTTATTTCCTTGAATTAATTGATTTTTATCAACAAAAATATAAGTTAGGAATATTGTATTTTGGGTGTATGCTTGATTTAGGTTTATGTAAAAGTATTTTTTCCCTTCAACCTTGTAATATAAACTGTAAAATAAAATAAATTTCCATGTGTGGTAACCTGTTTTAAAAATTTAAAAATTGCGCCCGAATTTACTTAATTCGAATAATAAGAAGAAGAAGATGAGGAGAAGGAGACCTGGGTAAGGTGTTCAGTGTTCTTAGGCTTATTAAGAGAGGGAGAATAGAGATGTGCGTCGTTAAAAAGCGTTTAAGGTTTATGCTTTTAAGGAAAAATAATAAAAAAAGTATAGATAGAACTTTTATTATATTAAAATAAAACCAATAAAAGAAAATTTTAAAGTTACGTTTCAAAGTAAAAATTCGTTTCTTTAAATTTATATATCGGCAATTTACATTTCTCTTCTGGCGTATTGTGTGTTGCATATATTCGAGAATTTACAATCGTATATTCCATGTTTTGAAAGAAATTTTAAAGTTACGTTTCAAAGTAAAAATATGTACGTTTCTTTAAATTTATATATAGGCAATTTACATTTCTCTTCTGGCGTATTGTGTGTTGCATATATTCGAGAACTTACAATCGTATATTCCGTGTTTTGAGAGTTGTCAACAAATGCCATTTTAACCCGAAGCCTTGGAGTTTTAAGATCATTCTTCATGTTTTAAACAAATAAAAATTATGATCATGAAGAAAGAGTTACTAAAATTTCATTTTGACCACTATCATTGGTTTCAAAAGTGTATCTAGTGTCTCTACTGCAATTCAATATAGGTACCTAATTCAAATCTACGCGTTTATTTTCAAGGTAACTTTTAACGATCGCGAAATTCGCTATTTTAAAGGATTGAAAATATTCGTAGAGTGAAATTTTAACTTTTCAAACAGGCCATTTTATTTACTTCACATTTACTTTACAAAAATTAGTCTTTAAAAACAGGCTTTCTGTATATTTTTAACGATTTAAACAAGAAGAATTAATACCCCACTAAACATTTTTCAGTTTCTGACATGTTCCAGAAACGTTTCCATTTTTCTTGAAACGTTTCATAAAAAATCCATGCAACGTTCTGGTAACCCAAAAGAAACCGAAGATGTCCTCCCCAAAATACGTTTCCAATGAAACGTTTCAAAAAATTGGTTTCAGTAACATTCTTTTGATGTTCCATTTATGCACTCGATATTTTTGTTTTACGTTTCAGTATATTTTCAGAAATGTTTGAGTAACATAATAATTTTTATACCATATTGTTCTCATAATGCTCTCAACTTTAGATAATTTCCATTTCAGAAGCGTTTTTGAAACAGTATAAACAGTGTGAGTAATTTTTTAAATATTTCTAATACTCTTTTGTAATATTTTTATTTGTATTGTGAATGACTTAATTCGTAATCCAGACAATTTTTTCTGATTTCTCAAAAAATTTAACTGAAAAATGTTATTGTATATTAAAAAAAATAACTGCTCTTCTAGTTTGGGGATGCAGCAACTTTTATCAAGAATTTTTTTCTTTTTGAGAAGCCACTGAAAAAGTTTCTAATATGGATTACGGATTCTGCCATTCATCGTACAAATAAAAATGTCACAAAACAATATCAGAAGCATTTTAAAAAAGCTACACATCATTTTATATTGTTCAAATACGCTTCTGAAATGGAAATTTTCTAATGTTGAGACCATCATGAATATGGTAACAATGACGAAATGATAATTAAAAAAATTAGTTTTGATAATGAATCTTGAAATGGTAGGTACATGAAAAACAAATAACATTACTGAAAAATAATATAAAGAACTTACAATTTCTTCTACGCATAGTCAATATTACATCTAACCTTTTTATAATAAATTTTACAGTAGAAATAAATAAGATACAAAAGGATATCTTGAAAAAATAAATATTGGTAGGTATACTTAAACTCTTTTATTTAAGCATTCCTATACACGTACACAAATATAAACATTTGTAAAAAATATCAAATAAATGACATATTTCACTTGATTCTTCCGTATTTCAAATAGTTCTCCGAAACATATAGTTCCATGTTCCATTTTTTTTTTTAGTTTTTGTCCTCGTCTTTAATAGTGGGTATAATAACTATGTTTAGGTAGATGTGACGCAAAATTCGAAGTCTGTACACATATCGTTTTAAACATTTTGCATCAATATTCATTATTTTATATGCACCTTACAATAACCACAACTGCACACACTATAAATTATTACATAAAATAGCATCAAAGTAACGATCATGGAGACTATTCTCCCTGGTAACGATGAAGAACAACGAAGCCAGGCAAACGGGTAAAGGCAAACCGTAAACCTAACCTAACACCTAACATAATACGAATTGAAAACGGCACACGAGAAATAAATAAATTCGGGCTGTTATGCGCGGTCTGCGCAAGTCACGAACATACATTTTTTCTAGACTTGTGTTATAAATATGCTACCACAATTTTTTTTCTGTTTATGTCTGGTTGAGGGTCGTTTCTTTGTCGTTGTTACGTTTCCGAGATCGAAAGGGATTGTTTCGAGTAATGTTTCAAACTCTCTTCAATTGGAATGTTTCGGCTATGTTTCACTAAGTAAGTTTTCAAGTGCTACATTTCTGTAATGAAACAGCAACGTTTCATTTACGTTCAATTTATTCCTAAAAGCTGTTTTACATTGACAATTCATGAAGTCGCTTTATCAAGAAATTGGACAAGTGTAATGCACCAAATCTGCTGTCAAATAACTTCATGAATTTATTCATCAAGTTCTTGACGAATTAGAGCATGTTCTAATTTTCGTCGATTTCTTCGTGAAGTTCGGAAGTACCAACCCAACAGATTTCCAGCCTCAGATCAGTAATGAGGTTATGTTATTGAAATATGTAAATAATTGTGTGGCGTCGTACTAGTTTTGCATTGTTTTTACTGATTTGTTACTTACAAAAACTAATATTTATATAATATGTGTCAGAACGGTACCGCTGTTGTGTCACTACAATTATGAGTGGAAAAGTGACATTTGCTTCTTTGATTCGTTGGTAGAACTGATTCATACGTCAAAACATTTGACAAAGTCTGTAGCAGTGTAAAATCACACTGTTTACCAATAAATTCGTGATTTAATTCATGAAGTACTTCGTCAATTTATTCATCAATAAATTGTCATTGTAAAACAGCTATAAAGCGTGTGGTTGTACACTGTTTTTTCGTTTTCACACAATTAATTTGTAAATTAATTGATACAAAAGTTGATTGAAGAAGTACCTATTGCAAGTGTATTACTCAATCAAATTTTATATTGTAATTATTAAATGTGGGAAAATTGAAGCCTATTCTTACAATTCCTTCCTGAATCATGCCATCGATAATTTGACGACAATTTTATGTATTACACAATTTACAAGTTATTTGGCAGCAGATTTGGTGCATTACACTTGGACAACCCCTTTCATGCAACGAATTATGAATTAATTCATGAAGAATGTAAAACAGCTAGGTATTACGTTTAATGCGGAATTTTTACGAATGAAATTCCAATGGACACAAACATTTTATTAAATTTTTGTGTAGGTTCGAAGTTGTGGGCGTGGGGGTTTTTTAGTTGCTGTAAAAATTGGAATATAAGATATTTGGTCTCAAAGAAAACAAAGCATTTCAATAAAGTTTGAAGTTTCACATACCTACAAATTACTGGAGGAAGATTTTTGGATTGAAACTAATGGTTTCTTCATGAAATGTATTCCACAATGTACCTAATATATCATAAATCTTAGACGTAAAAATAAATGTAGGAGTATAATGTGGTTCGCTCTCCATGGAGACACTCTTATATCTCGGTTATTTTAAATTGAAATCTTTTTCGTTTTAGTAAGAAGTAATTGTCTGCAAAGATATTATTCTGATTTAACCAAAGATTTTAGTCGTAGGTGTCGGATTCTTAAAATAAAAAGAGAGACATATATTAGCGTCTTGTTTTTCTAAAATATATTCAAATTTACATCCCTTTTCAACATTGCTCAAAATATGGGTACCCATACAAATCTTTCTGCGCTAGCAAATTATACAATCCTTTTGAGATTTAATTAACCTAAATATCGCAGTATCACCAGCAAATAATGCTCTTCATTCCAACCATAATGTCGTTTATACAGACATAAAACAAATACAGTGCAGGGTTAGTTCCTTGAGGCACACTGTTTATGGCTGCAAACTTAACGTATTATAATAAATACAATTAATAAATTAATTATACTATTACTGTTGCATTATTTTGTTTGTTCATATGTCATGTATTTTGTGTGAATATTTTCAATAAACGTGAAAATATATTCCTACGGTAAATTTTTATTACCATCTAGATATAGAAAAATGCTCAAGAACTGAATATTTTATAAAAAATAAAAGAAAAAAGCTTATCTAACTTCAACAGTTTTATTACCTAACAGAAAAACTAATTGTTTGGGTACTGTTAAAAGATATCTCATTCAAATTTAGTAGAACAGTAATAACATTTAAAGCAAAAATCGCTAATATATTTTTCTAAGTCTATCCCTTTTCTAATTTTAGAACCGAACACCTATGATTAGGATTATACAGGATGTAAGAAATTTGACTGCCATTACTTTAGCATGAGATAGAGTAGTCGTAAATGAACAAAAAAGTTGCATATTACAAGGGCGTAAGGTTAACAGTTTTCAAAATACAGCGAGTATTAATATTGGGGAGTTTCATCAGAACGTGACAACAGCGTTTAACCTGCTGATCCACACCGCGTGTACACACGGCAAAAAACACTCCGACACGGTCGAATCCAAATACTAACTGAATTGCGTATTGGTGGTTGTTGGACACCTTATTACCTCGTGTTAAGGGGTTATACGCAGTTAGAATTTTCGAAAATTTTTTTTTTTTCATTTCCAGAATGTACATATATCTGACTATATTCCCTGAAAATTTCAAATCGATCCGGTAAGTACTTTCCGAGATATACGCATATTTGTAAGGGCGGTTAGAAAGTAGGCGGAGTAAAAACCAGAGTAGAAGCTGTTCTTTTCTTTTTTG